TTCTTTTTCACATTCTATGTTGACAATATGATAAATATCTAAGTGGGAATTAAACATATATAAAGTACTGATAATGCCACAGGCAGATATGTTTCCAAAATGTCACAGTTGCTTACAGGTGTATATACGCAGTGATCTTCAAGCTTTGAAATATGACCTGCAAGGTGATTTTATGTGTGTGTGTGTGTGTGTGTGTGTGTGAGAGAGAGAGAGAGAGAGAGAGAGAGAGAGAGAGAGAGAGAGAGAGAGAGAGAGAGAGAGAGAGAGAGATTTCCTAATTAAAAGACCAGCTCATTTCCCTAATGTATTTAGAATGACTAATTACAGAACAGTGTTACATGCTTATAAAAACACAAATCTGCAAATAAAAAGAAACCTTATTATAGTATTTAATGTTTCTTAGGATTCATAAGACATGGAAGATATATTTATTAAAGACTTATTTTGTTTATGATTTTGTCTGTTAGTGTTTTCAAATTACTCTCTGGTTTGGAGACTTTTTTTGTGGGGAGGGGGGTCCGGTCGTGGGGCCTGAACTCTGGGCCTGTGTGCTGTCCCTCAGCTCTTCAGCTAAGGCTAGCGGCCTACCACTTGAGCCACAGCACCACTTCTGGCTTTTTTCCTTTTTGCTTATGTAGTGCAGAGGAATCGAACCCAGGGCCTCATGCATGCAAGGCAAGTGCTCTACCACTGAGCCACCTTCCCAGCCCCCTGGTTTGGAGACTTTTACAATACAGTTATATTTCTTTTGTTTTTCTTTTTAAAAACTTTTTATTGTGAGGGTATACAGAGTGGTTACAGTTACATCAGTCAGGTAATGACTACAATTTTTTTTTAACTGTGGCAGTTTCATTTAATTTTGTTTTTTGTTGGCTTTCTTTTTATTATTATTATTATTGTGAGAATACCTTACAGAGGTGTTACAATTACATGGGCAAGATAACGAGTACATTTCTTATCAAGCATTGTTGCCTCCTCTTTGTTTCCCCTTCCCAATCCTTCCCATACTCCCCCCCCACCAAAGTTGTAAAGTTCGTTTTTCGACATAACGACTTGTACATCTCATTGTTGCAATGGATCCACCTGTATTCCTAGTTAAACAATTTGTTTTTTCCCTTCCCCTCCACAAATTATAACAACATCAAATACAGTGAAAGCAGGGATTATACCGTGGGGGAGGGACATACAAAGCAACATAGAAATCATCTTATAAATATGTTAGAAACAATTGCATGAAAGAAAAAGAAAACATTTGAATATTTATCTTAGGGTTAATTCCCCTAACATCAACATATCTGACTTTTTCTGCTTGACTCAGGGTTCATTCCCCTAACATCAACTTATTTGACTTTTTCTGCTTGACTCAGCCATATGCTAGTTATTGCAAATAAGGGAAACCATGGGACCTATGTTTCTTTGGACCTGGCTTACTTCACTTAATATAATTTTTTCCAAGTCTTTCCATTTCCTAACAAATGGGGCAATGTCATTCTTTCTGATGGATGCATAGAATTCCATTGTGTATATATACCACAATTTCGTGATCCATTCATCTACTGAGGGGCATCTGGGTTGGTTCTAGATCTTAGCTATGGTAAATAATGCTGCAATAAACATAGTTGTGCTGGTAGCTTTAGTATGGTCTTGTTTGTGATCATTTGAGTAAATGTCCAAAAGTGGGATTGCTGGGTTATAGGGGAGCTCTATGTGGAGTCTTTTTAGGAACCTCCATACTACTTTCCAAAGTGGTTGAACAAGTTTACACTCCCACCAACAATGCAGTAGGGTTCCTTCTTTCCACATACCCTCCAGCATCTGTTGTTAGAGTTCTTGATTATAGCCATTCTAACTGGAGTGAAGTGGTATCTCAATGTTGTTTTGATTTGCATTTCTTTTATGGCTAGAAAGGTTGAGTATTTCTTCATGTGTCTATTGGCCTTCCTTCTTTCCTCTTCAGAGAAGTTTCTCTTTAAGTCTTTAGCCCACTTATCTATTGGGCAGTTGAAACTCTACTACAAAGCCATAGTAATCAAAACAGCTTGGTATTGGCATAAGAACAGACCTCAGGACCAATGGAATAGAATTGAAAACCCAGAAATGTACCTAAAGGCCTATAGCCATCCAATCTTCGATAAGGGAGCTAAAAAAATAGAATGGAAGAAAGGCAGTCTCTTCAATAAATGGTGCTGGCAAAATTGGTTAACTACATGTAGAAAACTAAAGCTAGATACTTATATATCACCCTGCACCAGAATCAACTCCAAACGGATCAAAGACCTCGGAGTCAAAGCAGACACTCTGAAAACATTACAGGATGGAATAGGAGGAACCCTAGGTTTCCATGGCACAGGCCGAAATTTTCTTTATAGAGACCCAGAAACACAACAAATCAAAGAATCAAAGAACGATTGGACAAATGGGATTGCATGAAATTGCAGAGCTTCTGCATGGCAAAGGACATAGCTCGTAAGATCAATAGAAAGCCCACGGATTAGGAGAAGATAGATCTTCACTAGCCATACAACGGACAAGGGTTTCATATCTAAAGTATACCGGGAACTCAGAAAATTACAGTTATATTTCTAAAATAAATACTTCTGCTCCCCTAATGTCTCACAGTTCTACATTTTAATCTTTAACCCCTTGTAATCAGCTGTGCTTTGAACTACATTGATTGAGCCTTCTGTTCTTTATATTTTAAAAAAACTATTCTGGATTTCAGAGAATATCTGTAAATTTGTTTTTCTTAAAGAAAGAATAAAAATTAAGTTCAAATATGCTATAAATGGATGAGAATTACCAGTGTAGCCATTTCTGAGCTATCATATCTTTTTTAAACAGTAGTGTGGTATAATAATTACAGCTAAGTTTATTAGCAAGCTATATGTTATGAAATTAGTGCTGCTTATCCTAAGTTCAGTGTGAAGCTTAGGAACTTTAAAGGACATTTTCCATGGCAGTTCCCTCATTGCCAATATTTGAAACACTCAGATTTACACTGATAAGGTATTGATAAATTTTATCTTAGCAACTAGAAGTATTTCTGTTTAAGATATAATTACTCTCTTTCATGTGGAGTCACTCATTATTTTAAGGTCTTAAAGATTTTAATGGTGACTCAGAGTTTTATTTTATTTTTTTTAATTAGAAGAGGCATCCCTGTCTGTTGACAGCCATGTCTCAAGCCCAGTGGTTCAGCCTGTAGCAGCAGCCAATGCTGCTTAAGTTTCCTGGTGATGCAGGCCCAGTCCTAAAAAGATTCCCCCCAAAAGAATCAATTTCTGCTTCATAGTCTTTTTCTAGATTGAATGCCAGTGTACATGCATCTTATTGAGGTTTAGAAGTAATTAACAAGAAATCAGACATATATATACATATATATAATTTTATGAAATATATATAGGTTTGTTTTTTCCCTACGTTTTTACAAAGAAAATTTTCAGCCTTCAGGTATTAGCTTTGATCTGAAAGAATCAAGAAAAATGACATATTGAGCTTTATCTATATTTTTTAGAATTAAAGTAAAAATTAGAATAACACTAGAATGAAGAGATTTTTATTGCTGCTGTTGTTTATAGTTTCTTACACGGAACATTTTTTTTAAGTAAATAGTTCCTTAAGAGGGTCACCAGTCTCAATTTCCATGAAGTTCTTAAAGATATTTTGGTTTTGATTTCCCTCCAGATAGTTTAGTACAAACTTAGTAACATCAGAAACAAAACTTTATCCATAATCTTAATCCAGCTCTTTCCCTTCACAAATAAATATGCTGAGACTCTAGTGACTGGGTGACTTGCTCAGGATACCATTAGCGAAGAAGTCAACATTAAAAACTTGCTTTATGATTTCAAATCTCAATTGGAGTGGAATTTTCTATTGTAATATACATATATTATATAATACACATATATATGCATATATTTCTTTATGCAATGAGTTGTACAATATAGAATGAAAAAATAAAGTTTAGTTTATAGTTGAATAACTTAACAGCTAGTTACTCCCAGTTAAAAAAAATTTCCAAGGTAGCAAAAATTCAAACACATTGACAGATAAGTTGGCTATTTATAATGTAATTTTACAGCAATTTTATAATTTGTCAGATGTCTTATGAATTTTCAGATTATATAGTTACCTGAGAATACTACTTTAAGTAATACTACTTAAAAGTACAAGTACTTAGTACTTTTTAAGAACTAAAAAGTACTAAGTACTAAATACTACTACTTAAAAGTAATACTACTTTTAGAATGTACACCTAAGTAAAAATAGTACATTTTTTTTCAGAACCTTCTGGAATTCAACTACCTTACAGTTGACTACCTTTGAAATATCTCCCAATGAAAACTCAAACCTTGGGGAGAGTATAGAAGTATGAGCCAAGAGAACATTGCTGCTTGTTACCTTGTAGTTTCTATATAGACCAAATAAAAAAGGGAAATTAAACACCTAAGGAGTTTAATTGGAAGGGTTGACATAATGTCCTAACAACAGCAGTAGGAACCAGCTCAGCTCATGTCTCTTCTTCTGTCCAACAAGTGAAATGTCTTCAAGAACATGTTACAGATAAACTCTAACATACATGCCTATAACTTCCTGACCCTTTGTCTCTCCCTGAAAGTTCTCTCTGGATGAATTCAGCCTCACAATGCATGTCCTTCAAACTGTTCAGTAGTGTACACATGGAGGATGAAGGTCATTTTTAGAAATTCTAATAGTAGAAGCAGTTTCCATTCAAGCTCTTAGTAAAAGTCAAAAGTCTCATATATATATATATATCTTCATATATATACATATATGCACACACACACACACACACACACACACACACACACACACACACACACACACACACACACACACACACACACATATATAAAGCTAAATTTTATAGAATTGCTTACCAAAACATTTTAGACCTCAGTCTTTTAAGTTGCAAGTTGCACACTATTAAGTTTCTGGACATAGAATTTTGTTTAATACAATTTCCAAGTTTTTGGGTCTGGGAAGGTGGCTCAGTGGTAGAGTGCATGCCTTGCATGCATGAGGCCTGGGTTCGATTCCCAGGACCCATATAAGCAGAAAAGGCTGGAAGTGGCGCTGTGGCTCAAGTGGTAGAGTGCTAGCTGAAGAGCTGAGGGACAGTGCCCAGACCCAGAGTTCAGGCCCCACGACTGACCAAAAAAAAAAAAAATTCAAGTTTTGGATCTATTAATTGCTGCTGGAATCTCCCAGTGTTTTCTTCACTTTATCCTTTGGCTGACTATTGGTGTCTTGGGAGACTTTTGCAAAGCTTATCTGCATTCTTATGGAATTGTTTAGCTTTTTGCTGGTTCACATTTGCTTATATTCAAAACTTAGCTTTCTTTCTATTCAATTTTAATTGGTGATTCAATGTCACACTCATTACAATGAATTGAAGTGGGATTTTGTGGCCAATGTAAAACTGTTTGCAACTAACTCCTGTAATGTACTATCATTGTCTGTGCTACTCTTGATTTCTGGCATGCTATGGCTTTATTTATTTATTTATTTTTGTCTGGCACTCCCTCTTACTTTCTCTGTCTTTCTCACATTCTGTCTGTTTGTATCTATTTTGTTGGCAAACTGATGAGAATTAGTATTTAATGTATTAGTATTTAATTGCTAATTTAGTTTTTAATATCTTTTACATGGACTGGTGTGGCTTATCGAAATTTAGCTTTTTTTTAATTTAATTTTATTTTATTTGTGAACATACTGTACAGAGGGGTTACAATTACATGGGCAGGATAATGCATACATTTCTTACCAAGCATTGCAGCCTCCTCCTTTGGTTTACCCTTCACATCCCTTCCCAGCCTCCCCCCTCCCCTCCAATCCCAATCCTTCTCCTTCCCCCCCCCCCACCGACATTGTAAAGCTCGTTTTGGACATGACAACTTGTATTTAGCTTTTTGTTTGAATTAGCTAAACAATTAATAGAGCTCCAGTGTATGGAGTCCAAAAGTGACTTACCAGAATGATAGTAACAGATAGCATAATATCTGTTTGCTTTCAATTTTGGATTGTATGAAAAGATTTTACTGAATTTCAAAAATCAGTGCTCATTTTATGAAATAGGACTATACCTGTCCAACTGATGGAAGAGGATTTTTCCCCCCCCAATTTCATTCTGTAATCACCACTGAATTTGTTCATTTTGCAGAAATTAAAAAATACTTTGTCAAATTTACTATGTTTTCTTCTTTTCTTCCCTTCCATTTCTTCCCTCAAGACAGTATCCAATATATTGGATTTATACTGCACATGCTGCTCTATATATGTTAGAGGCTTTAGAGTAATTTTTCTTTAAAAAATTAGAAAATATTATGTAAACATATTCTGAGAAAAATCTTGAAAGACCACTTTCTTTTTATTTTCTTAGACATGAAAAGGTATGACATCATGAATTGGATGCTAATACAGTGTAGATGGAACACATAGTTGAAAATAGAAGATGTTATTCTTAAAAGCTGTTTTTGAGGGGAAAAGGATAGAAAAGCGTAGCAGTGGTGCTCACTGGACACTGGTGCAAGGGAACTATACAAAGAGTGAATGGGGAAGGGAGGGAGGGACTGGGAGAGCGGGGTTGAGGGAAGATACTGTATAGAAGGAAATGTACTCATTACGTGATTTATGTAATTGTAATCCCTCTGTACATCACCTTCATAATAATAATAAAGTTAAAACATCATGAGGCTCAGTGTAGTGGCTCATCTCAAAATTCTAATTACTTGGGAGGCTAAGGAGCATCACAATTCAATGCCAGCCTGAGCAAAAAGGTCTTTCACAAAAATGAAACCAACAAAACTGGTGGCATATGGCCTGTTATGCCATTACATGGGAATTCTAAATAAGTAGACGGGTCCAGAAAGGCTTGAGCAAAAAACATAAAACATATTTTCTCCAAAGAAAATATGTCCAGTGATGAAGTGTTTTAGTTACAAAATCAAAAGTATCCTGTGCACAAATGTTTGTAGTTGTGAAATGTTGAGATGAAATTAAGCAAAATGTTATGACTTATTACTCTCCTCCATAAAGCTTCCATTTACATGTTTTCAGAGCAATAAAAAAACTGGTTTGGAACTGGTTGGAAAACCAGGAGGAAATCATGTTTTCATGGTGTATGTATGTTTCTGTGTTGGCTTACACTATAGGAATGGTAATGGACCAAACTGACAAGCTTATAATACAATTTTCATTTTATTTTGAACATATTTTGCATGTTATAAAAATATTGATCACAGTGAGCTTTACCAATTGTTATTGCTATAAAAATGAATGCAGGAACAATATTTTTAGTGGAAATAAATTATATAGTCATTATTTTTTCTTTTCTTTTTCCTTTTTAAATCACAAGAGAAACGCCTTAGATGTTTGGTCACTGGCAGAAAACCAGTCTTTGAAGGAGGCCTTTTGCAGACAAGCTCCGGTCCATTTCTGTAAAGTTATCCACACGGATTGGAAACAGACTTTTAGTCTTTGTGATCACAGCCCCGCAGGCTCTCTCTGTTCCTAGACAGTTCTCCATGGCAACAGTTTTTCATGATGGAAAAATGAAGAATAGGAAACAGTACAATCTTAGTTCATATGTGGTCTTTTCCAATACGAGGGGACACAGCGACAGACTTCTTCACTAAATGAAAGTCCCGGCTCACAATGCTTCATTCGATTTGTACATGGTCGCCTGTAACAACTAGGGAAACAGAAAAGCACATATATTAAAGACCAAGACACTGACTTCATTAGGCTACTTTGCTTCATTTAGCATATTTTCCTGAATTTATATTAGAACAAAAATGACTAATTTTATCACAAAAGTGTTGCAGGATCATAAATAGGTTTAAGTTTTCGAACAGAGTTACAAAATTTCGGAGTAATGGAAAAGCCTTTCAGAACATGTCTTGCTTGCTGATAGAACAAATGGAAGGATGGGCTATTGTTAAGCATTCGTTCTTTTGAAGTGCTTTTGTGTTTCATGGATGAAAGTGAACATAAAACAGAAATTTTGAAAAAAATGAATATTTAAGGTCTGCCGAGTTACTGTGATCACATAAGCATGGCAGGATTCACAAAAATCTGGAATTTGTATGAGACCCAGACTTTCATCTTGGCAGCATCTCAGTGATCCTTGTTGAGCAACCCTGCCTACAACTCTTGTGTTTCTACTTAGCAGCTTGTTGTATGATGGTGGCTAAGTCTCCTTTCTCCACCTGGGTTCCATGTGAAACGCATTCGTCTGTAGCAAAGGAAGGCAGCAGACAACACTCATCACTGGGAGTCCCTGTCCCTCAATACTAGACTCTCAATTTCTAGTGTTGTTGAAAGGGCAAATTACCAGCTAATCTGTTGGCAGCTTAAAAGTTCCAGTGAATTGTCTTTCTTCTAAGAACTTTTCCGAGGATGAATATGCCCAACATGTAGAATGAGGGTACAGGAAAAAAAATGCAGGATGGCTAAGGTGGAAGTTTAGAAGTGTGCTACAATGAAAACTCTACATCTTAGTTTTGAATTTTATCTTTTACTCTAGAAAAGAAAGCATATCTACTCAGTGTTTTAAAGCAATTCTTAAATACAAATCTATTGTCATCTTATGAATATAATTCCTCTACTTAAAAAGGATACAGTTCTCAATGGTCAATAAAAGCTGCTGATTAGCATGGCATTCACACTTTTGGAATGAATATTACAAGAGGATGAGATGGAATAAAAAACAACTAACTACATAATACTAAAATTCTCTTTTGCTCCATTTGCTGTCACAACCTGGGAATTACACACTTAGAAAAACTGAACATGAAAAAAGTTACAGTAAATTGAAAGTCTTGGTGCAGGGGATGAAGCTCAGAGTTTACTGACTTAACACTAGATTAGAATGCATAAAATTGTGGATTCAATCCTCAGTATGGCAAATGAAACAAAACACAATAGTGTCTTTCTGGATATAATAATGTAGTTTGAATTGAGTGCTGATGGCTCATGCCTGTAATCCTAGCTACTCAGGAGGCTGAGAATTGATGATTGCAGTTGGAAACCAACACACAAGATAATCTGTGAGGATTATCTCCAGTTAACCACCAGAAAACCGGAAGTGGTGCTTTGGCTAAGAGTGTTAGAAGAGCACTTTCCTTGAGAGCAAAAGCTCAGAGACAGCAACCAGGTATAGAGTTCAAGCCCCAGGACCAACAACAACAAAAAAAATAATGTAGTTTGAAACGCCCTATTGGTTATCAAAGTAGAAATATGTAAATAATTTAAAATGTACCTATTGCTTGAAGCATTTTAAAAGGAAAATTAAGGTATTAAGATTCTCTAGGACATAAGGAGAGGAAAAAAAATATAAGCAGTAAAATCCATAGGTTCACTGAAGCCTGTGTGGTAGCTAAAGTGACAGGTTGTAGAAATAAAAATTGTATGGAATCAGTTCAAATGTCTCACAATGAATGAATGGAGCATGAAAATGTGGTATAAATATACAACAAAATTTTACTCCTCCATTACAAAGAAAAATATTTCATCATTTGCAAAGAAATAAAATCTGCAAAAAATGGAAAGCCCTAGAAAGAAGTGTTAAGCCTAGAGAGACAAAGGATTCATGCTTTTTTTCCTCAGAAGTTAGAATTAGTTTTTAAATATATAAGTAAATACTTTGATATGCAAATGAATGCAAATGAATTAACGGAAACATGGCAATCAGAACAGGGCTCAGTGTAATTCCTTAAAAAGGCTAAATTATAGTTCAATAAAATAAACATCAGGAAATAGGTACTTGAAAAGGTAGGATGGAGTCACAGGGAGGAGGTAAGTGCATGAGGAGGAGGAGGAGAAAGCAGTAAAGAAAGTCAATACATATCCTTTAAAATTTTAAAAAGTGAGGGAAAAGTTAGGTTGGCAGGGATGAACGAGAACTTTGAAAGGGGTGATACTGACCAAAAAGCATTATATTCATAAACTGTTGGCAACTTCTTTGTAAAACTACTTAAAAGAAAATAGAAAATGCGATAGAATAAGTAAAAACAAAATGAAAGAACAAAACTCCTGAAAATAAAAAAGACAGGCTTTACTCCTATGGAAGAAAAAGTAATAGAGAACATTAACACAAACTAAAGCACATATACATGATACTTCAGTTTTATCCGTTGAAATGTCATCCTTCTATTCATTCTTTAGAGAGTTGATGGGAGGAGAGAATCCAGTGAAAGTCACTTAAAGTAAATGATCTGAAAATCTAATGGACAGCTAGGAAACTACCTCATATCAGACTAAAAAGAACTGATCTTAAAGGAAGGGCACCAGAAATGACAAAGTAGATCAGTACAAAATTCTCCACTCTGGTGACTTGGAAGCTAGCCCTAGCTGAATTAGGACTTTTACACAGAGGCCATAAACCAAACTATAGGCAACGGGGTAAATGGGAGATGAAGAAGAGGTAAAGCTCAAAAACACCTGCTTAGAGCCAGGCACTGGTGGCTCACAAACTGTAATCCTAGCTACTCAGGAGGCTCAGATCTGAAGATCGTGGTTCAAAGCCAGTCTGGTCAGAAAAGTCTCTGAGAGACTCTTATCTCCAATTAACAACTCAAAAAATAGAAGTAGGGCTGTGGCTTAAAGTGGTAGAGCACTAGCCTTGAGCAAAAGAGCTCAGGGACAGTACCTAAACCTTGAGTTGAAGTCTCACAACTGACAAACAAAAACACCGGTTTACTTTCTGAGAAAGTATGAAGAGGACAGAATAGGATTGCTCAGTATCAGAGTAAAATAATACTATTAGACAGGAATAATAATAATAATATAGAGAGGAATGTCTATAAATTAAGGGAAAAGGAATATAGAACTGGAGACATTAAAATTTCTCATGTGAGAAGGTATGAGTGCTAGAAAACCGTTGAAGGATTATGAGAGAAGATGTTAAAACATAGGTCTAGTTAAATAGCAGTTTACCTTACTCTGAGTTTATAAAGGTATAACTTCATAGATTAATATTGAAGGTCAGTGGATCCAATAACATCATATTTTTCCATGATGAAAAATGGGGAAAAAGCCAAGACTTAAGTAATGAGGTTTGAGTAAATTTAAACAACGTATTAATATGTCTCACTAAGTCCATTAAATTCTTTAACATAAATGTTTTCATTTCTAGATAACATTCTACAGTGAGAATTGCCATTTACACACATTATTTGTAATTTTTACATTAAAATTTATTTAGAACACTTTGTCCTACATTACATCTGAATGTATCGGGTTTTTTTTTTGTGAGTATAAGTGTAGATTGCTTGGCTATATTGTGAATATAACTAACAATCTCTGTGATTCATACCAAACACCACTTGCATCATTCTCCGAGACAAGAATTCATGTCAACATTCATGTCTAGCTCTTTTTTTTTTTTGGGGGGGGGGGGAATGAATTCAATGTCATGAAAGCTCAGCATTCATTCATGGAAGTTCTAATGAGCTTGGTTAAGAAAACTGTTTTTGGTTGAGAATGTTTGATTTTCAGCAAGAGGAACTGATGCTATTCATGGAGATAGCTTACCTGCAAGTTTGATGTTGGAACTTCTTCCCTTTTAGGAAGCATTTCTGTGGATTTTCTGTGCATTCACATGTACATTTTCCAGGATTTAGGGGTTGATTTCTTGGGCAGGTTCTTTTACATACACACTGGCACGTATTTTCATCAAATTCTCTGTTGGCCCCACATGAGTTGGGGAAGAGTTTGTTTTTACAGACACACTGGCATGAGTCTCTGTCTAGTTCTTTGTGAGGTCCACAGCTGGAAGCCCGAAGTCCCCCTTTGCAGACACACTGGCACGTCTCTTCATCCAACTCTTTGTTGGGGCCACAGATATCATGGAATCCATTTGTCGTGTCTAGACAAAACACGCACGCACACACACACACACACACACACACACACACACACACACACAGACAGACAGACACACACACACACCAAAACAAAACAGAAAAAAAACACAAAAACCCAGTACATTTTTCATTGTACCTTACTGGAGTCTAAGTATGCAAAAACAATTCAGTGTATTTAAACACATTTTCCTTGTGTTTTTCCTTAAAACAGACTGTACTAAGATGGGCAAGTTCCTTTACAAAGAAGTTAAAAATAATTACACTATGATGTAGGAAATGTCCTGTTTTGTGGTAACTTATTTCAAAGAATGACTATTGGATTTTACAAGAAGGTTAAGTAGGAAAGTGTATCTTAATTGAAATATAGCCTAGATATGGAACAAAATATGATTCCACTTACCATCTTCAGTATTTGAAGAAAACATGAAATCTTGCTGAGCTAGGCATCTGCAGAGGTGATTATTCCAAATGTAATTCATGGGGCAAGTCTTGTTGGCTGCCTGACACCTTAGGAAGAGACAGGTAGGGTTAAACAATAGAATAGTTGGAAGATAGGATACATCAATTCTTTCTGTGTGTATTATAAGTCAATGCAAAATAGGATAAATAAATTCTTTCTGTGTATTACAGGTCAATACATACTGATAAAAGTTTTAACATATATAAGAATATATGGATGAAACATGACACCCAAACATCTACCTAATGTTAAATTCTAATTCCAGAATTAGATGTATGGTCTTACATGTATGAGTAATCATATAGATTTATAAGATGTGATAAAGCCTTGTATAGCACTATAAAACCCCCCTTTCCACTAGAAAATATACCTTGGGCATCTTCATATGCTATTTAATGAAGTTAGTGATTGGGATGATATTCTCCAAAGGATTTACCATTATGTATTAATCTATCAAGAAAACATTATGTATTTCATTTATTTGGCTTTCTCAAATAATTCTAGGTAACATCCAAATACATACATCATTACTAATTTCTTTCTTTTTGTTTTTTTTTGGTCCGCTCGTGGGGCCTGAACTCTGGGTCTGGGCACTGTCCCTCAGCTCTTCAACTCAAGGCTAGCACTCTACCACTTAAGCCACAGCGCCACTTCCGGCTTTTTTTTTTCTGCTTATGTAGTGCTGAGGAACTGAACTCAGGACCTCACGCATGCAAGGCAAGCGCTCTACCACTGAGCTAACTTCCTAGCCCTACTAATTTATTTCTGAAGTATAGTTTTCCAAAGTTGCAAAGTCTCTGCAATGGGAAAGTTCTATTCTACTTTCTACCAACAAGATATCAAAGTAGATGTTTTCAATTTGCTTTGTTCTGGCCAACTTTTTTCTTCTCCCTTTCTTCTTCACACTTCCTCCTTTACTTCTTTATGTCTTTTCATCTTCATTACTAGTATTAGTAAACTTTATGAATTTCAATCAAGTCTACGTTTTCAAGTACTCCTTTGGTGCTCTAATTGCTGGCTAATAAGAACCTCTTTCATGGTGTATGTATGCCAAGAACCTTTTACTTAGCCAGGTTGTCTGCCCTCTGCAAGAACAAATGTTGCCAGCTAATCTTGCCTATCATTCCTTTGAGAAGCCATTTGATTTTGGAAAATGACATTTAGAAGTAGCTATCATTTTGTACCAAGTGTGTCTAGCGCCATTAGGTTACAGGAATAATTTAATGTTGTTTTTATAGACACATTAGCACAAGCTTCTCTCTAGCTCTTTGTGGAGACAGAGCTAGAAAAGGCAGCTATTGTCATAGACTGTTTCGTTAGCTAATGTTTATTCAGAAGAGACATGTGGCTTTTCATCTCCTAACTTACAAAGAATATATAAACCTTTCGCTATGTGATTTATCAGCAAATGTTTGTGTAGACATCAAATGGAAATATTTATTTATAGCTCCTGCATCTTCCATCTCAATACAAAATTGTAAACAGCAGTATGTGGTAAAAGAAGGTTGAGTTGCAGCCTAAATTGGTGGAATATAAGAATCATATGTAGATATCTAAAAAAGTACACCAAGTATAAACAAACAGGCATGTGCTTTGACTGTTTTGAAGAAATATTTTAGAGATTTGATCAATATGATGATATGCTTCTTTAAAAATACCCCGAAATGTCTTATAACACCACAGAAAGGCATTTTTGAAACAAGCAAATCCTTCCTTCCTTTTTTCCTTCTTCTTACTTTTCTTTCTTTCTTTTTCTTTTTCTTTCTTTCTTTCTTTCTTTCTTTCTTTCTTTCTTTCTTTCTTTCTTTCTTTCTTTCTTTCTTTCTTTCTTTCTTTCCCTCTTTCTTTCTTTTTCCTTCCTTCCTTCCTTCCTTCCTTCCTTCCTTCCTTCCTTCCTTCCTTCCTTCCTTCCTTCCTTTCTTTTCTTTCTTTCCCACTCTCCCTCCTTCCTTTCCTTGCTCCCTTTCTCCCTCCCTTCCCTTTTCTTTCTTTCCTGAATAGCCTTGAACTCTTGATGCTCCTTGTCATGGATACTTAGGGACTGGGAATACGGGCATGCATCACCATACTCGCAAATTTGTGTTATATAATCATTTCTGCCCTCAGTTTGAATAATACCTCTAGGATTTATAAAGGTTTTCCTTCCTATTTGTCTCAGTACAGGTTGAACAGAAAAATCTCTATTCCTTCCTCTCAGTATAACAGTTTGCCTAAAATTACCACCTCATTCTTAATTCACACTTCATCTTCAGCAAATAGTATGATTGCTATAATCCTTATCCATTCTTCCCTTGTTGACATCTTTAGAAGTCATTTCTCCTTTAGCTTGGAGAAAGGTTTATTACTGAACATTGCCTTAAATTTATTTTAATTTTGACTCTCTGCTATGTGATTTTTACTATGCTCTATCATAGCCTACAACTTCTTGTACTGGCTACTAATGTCCGTGTAAAGAAAGCAACTGTGTTTTTAACAATATTGATGGATGATAGTCAATAATGTATTTTTCCTATGTAAAATAATAAACATATACGCAAAGTATGTTTTTGAGAGAGATTATTGGCAAGAAGCAATTTTTGTACATCCTTTTAGGCAAAAAAGTCCAGCTGTTATTTCAAAATGCAATTTAATATTATTTAGATTTTAACTGTACACTTTAACTTCATGCTAACAAATTCTTCTAAAATCTTGGCTCTTAATAATCTTTACATAAATAGTTGTTTGCTTTTACCCTAAACATATGTGCTTTTTGTAGTTTTTAGTTTTAATCTTGGAAATACAAAATATATATGTGATTAGCAGACTTAAAATACTCAAAGAAGTTTACTCTGGTCTAAAACAACACTATGTTGTTTCTTCCTTAGTGTTTTAGCTTATGTCTTCAGAATTTTCTTTTCTTTGCAAATAGAGGTACAGGTGTGTGTGTGTGTGTGTTTTCTGTCAATTGTTTTCAGTAAAAATAATATTTTAAACTTTACTTAATATTTCTGTAGCATATTAGACCTTTGTAACAATTTCAGGTAACCTAAAGGGAAAGTTTCTAGTAATTACATGATTTTTGTCATTATTTTCAGAGTAAATCATGAATTTTGGATCAATTTTGATAGTACTTATCAAATTTCCATACCAACTGATTTATTATTTGTATCCTATCTAAACTTTAACATTCCTCCATCAAATGATAATAGTAGCTCCATTACCCTCATCACCATTGAAGTTCAATTATGCTTTTACAAATATTAAAATTTGTGGCCGTGTTGCTTTAGTGTGTACCTGTACATGGATTAAATGGCACATTGTCACATTTGCTGTAGGTAGGCAAAGTAATGTTGCAGAAATCAGAGAAAGATGTTTTTCTTCTTGCTAGTATGTAATTTATATTATTATTGCCTCTGCCAATGCTATTCTGGCTGTTAGATGCAGCCCATAATGAATCAGGAAATCAATTATATGAGACAGAAAAAAATTTCTAATGGAACATAATGGCCTATAATAAAATACAGACTACTAGAATGTGTGCTAGATAGTTTTTGCTGCAGCTTTAATGGTGTTACACATAAGTGTGTCATATAAACACACACAGATATGTGTATGAAATGCCTTATACTACATACTTGGAATCAGACATATATACAATGCATGAGCTCCACCACTTAAGACACATTCACAACCCTTTTGTTTGTATTTTGTTATTGAGATAGGGTCTCACTAAAATTTCTATGCTGTCCTTGAACTTCTATCCTTTTGTCTCAACTTCCCAAGCAACAGAGATTACATATGTATACCAAGTCTGCTTCATGGTCTTTTATCTTTTCATTATTATCTTTAAGTGGTTATACAAAGGAGTTGCCATGTAAAAAAAGCAATTTATGAAGCCAGGTACTGGTGGCTCATGCCTGTAATCCTAGCTAGTCAGGAAGCCAAGATCTGAGGATCATGGTTCAAAGCCAGCCTGGGAAGGAAAGACTGTTATCTCCAATTAACCATAGAAAACCAGAAGTGGTGCTGTGGCTCAAGTTGTAGAGAGCTCTCCTTTAGCTGAAGAGCTCAGGGACAGCATTGTGGCTCAGAGTTCAAGCCACATGATCGACAAAAGATAAAAAGGCAATTTATGAATTCATAATCTTGAAATCTAAAGTAAATTTCTTTGAAATATGTGACACCAGAACTGTATCTCATTAGTATGAATGTATTTTAATGTTGAAATTTAAAATCCTGCGAGATATTCCTGTATTATTTTTAAAAAACTCTTTATTTGGAGTAATGCACACACATATTTCCTAAATGAAGTTATCTGCTCAAAAGTGAGTAGTAAGTTCTTAGCACTTAAAATATGTTAAGAATTAAAGGGTGGAGTGAACAAAATTTCTAGAATATTGTTATTTAAGAATGAGAGGAAATGTTGTCATGGCAAGTCAAACGGATAATACAATGTGCTTATCACCTTCCTGTTTTAATCTGTGAAGCGTTTTTGTACTATTGGAATTATTGTTCAAGAGCAATCATTAATGGGTGTGTGCCTCCTACAGTTTAATAAGTTGTTTCATATATGGCTTTTGTAAAGACTATTGCATCAAATGCACATTTCTGTACAAAGTGGAGGGTTGCACAATGATTTCAAACTACTTCTATGTTGACAATCAGGTAAGCATGAGTTTTCCTCCACCCAAACAACTTTAACTATGATACAGGATAAAGGTACTTTTATGATTTGAAACCTCATCTGACTGGCTTGGTAGCTATTTTAATTTGTTTGTATAAATTCGATGATTTTGGATTTGATTTCTTGTACCAGTATGATCATGAAATATTTGTATTTCTGTATCTAGTTATTTCACATAGCATACTACCTTTCAGGTAAATGCAGATTGTCATAAATGTCAGGACCTTTATAAAACATTTATGATTGAAAAAAAATTAACAATACTTTGTTTAACCACTTATTTATCAATTTCACTAAGTCTCCCTTTAACTTATTTCCCAGATCATTCGAAGTCAGTAAGAACTTTATAAAATTCAAGCTGTAGTACTTTCAAGAAACAACTTG